TTAATGAGAGAATACTCCTGTGACATCATCTCTGGAATTCTTCACCTGAGAAGAGAAGAACAAACAAAAAAAAAAAAGGTAAGACTACTTATGAAAAATGTCTGACTTCCAAGTGAACGTTTTGCTCAAACTTTATAACCCTGATTTCCATTTTGAGAGGCTATAAACAGGGTTCATGGACTCTCCTCAGGAAAAGATAGAACCCTGTCTTTGAAAAGTGAATGCGGGAAAGTGCAATTATTGCAGCTCTAAATGGAGTTAAGGCCACCTTTCCCCATTTTGATCCATTTTCCCAGGTTCTTCCTTAAATGTCAACTATCCAAATCTGCAGTTTTGGAGAGAAGACCATTTCTGCTACTCATTTCTGGAAAAGATGCCTTGCAGGCAGTGAGTCTGAGAGCTGAGCTACCATCAACCCAGGATTCAATGTTCAACTTGTTGTTCAAAGTTGTTATCCTCCTTTGTGCATCCTGCAAGGTCCCTGAAGTTAATAGATGATTCAATTTGTGGTAACTGAGGAACACTTCATGAGAGGACTATTGATAGAGCTGGGAAGATTAAAGAGAATGGCATTGTCAAGTACACTAAGGCTAGCCAGAGTGAAACATTATTCTCATCCTTAACCATAAGGCTTATGAAAATAGCAGTTCTAGAGTTACTAGGGAAAGAGTACCATATGTGGAGCTGGAGAATCAGGACAGGACAAACAACCAGGTAAAGAAGGACTGCCATTGCCAATCTGCACCTCACTGGACGACAGCAAAGAAATCTTCTTGAAAAGCCAACTGTTTCTTCTTGCCTCCAGCCTCATGCAGGTGTATCTCTCCCAAGGGTTCATTTCAAACAGAAACCAAAAGACAAAGAACCCCATAGAAGTCACTACCTTGTGATAGAAAGTATAGCAGAGATGTAAGAAAGTCTTTGTTGCAAGTGAGATTACCCCTCACATGTTGATGCTCCTCCTTTCTTTGTTTGAATATTACAGAATTCTTTGTCTCTATCTTCCTAATCAAATACCACGTTTATGGAGTTATAATATCCATGTAAATATAAAATTCATTGATAATTGAAAGCTACTAAAAAGAAGAAACACTATGTTATTGTGCAAACGTAAACTTGGCTGCCTTAATAGAAATCCAACAATCATGCTAATAAGTAAATGAAAACTGTGCTGAAGTTCTGAAGCATCAGAAATCAGAAAGGAATGAATATATTGGAGCAAGCAGGAATTTTTGTAGCCTCTGTTGTTTCTCAGGTTCTGTGGTCACAGGAAGATTATTTGGAATCTCCTCAGAAATTTAAAAAAAAAAAAAAAGAATGGGGGCTGAAAGCTCCGACCAACTCAAAATGTCCTCTTCTAGTGGTCATGTTCTTGAGACATGATCACAGGAAGATCCTTTATTTTACCTGTAGATTTTTCTAGTGTGGTATGGGTGACCTAGAGAACAAGAGAAGCACTGGGGCATGATGGTAAACAAAAGTGGAAATCTTTAGTCCTTATAGAGCTTCCGTTTTGATGAAGAAAACAAATACCTCACACACTAGAAAGAGAGGTACACACTGAAGTGTCTTTTATTGGACACATCAGAAGCTCTGGTTTTCCATTCTCTTCTTTTTCAGGCACACACAACTGGAGACATCTGTCTCTCTAAAGGAGCTGATGATGGACACATGGACTCCTGGATGCTGCTCTGAGCCTGCTGAGGAGATGCATCCCCTTTCCAGCAGGTGCCTCCTCTGCTGGTGAGTCTTCTGGATCCCACAGTCACAGCTGCCTTTGTGAGAGAGGCAAAGTGTCTGGGGAGTGCTTTATTTCTAGGTAGATTCTAATTGCCTGCCTCTCCTCTGTTCCTGGTTTTTTAGACTTCACTTATCTTATGTCTCTGAAGTTTTCTTTCCCTAGTTTTTTTAATTTCTATTGACATTTTAAGTTGTAAGTTTCAGCTTAACTTATAAATCACATGTATGATGTGAGTTGGAAGTCTCATTGAAATTGTGGACACTTGGGCAGTCTTGGTGACTTCACAGGCACACTATGAAATCAGGAGCAAATCAACCATTTTATACTATAGTTCCATATTCTACGAAATAGAAAAAAAAAAGGATATTAACTGTCACCTCACAGGCACTGAAAGAATAAAAAAGCAAGATTACTCTCCCTGTTATCCTTTTCAATTTCTTTAATAAATTTATATAGATAATATATTTTTCATGAAGATCATATGGTTTATGTATGTTATAGGTACAGTTCTAAGATGTTGACCAATTTCTATCTGCCCCTAAATCTTCTTTCGTCCTTATTTTTTCCTTTAATTTTTGCAAAGACATAATTTTGGACCACTGTCTGGACAAAGGCTTAGTCAACCACTACCCTTCATATTGAAAGACAGAGACAATCATCATATGAGTGTAAAAAAAAAATCACTAAAAACGACCATTATATCACAAATGTTCATTTCATTCATAAACAATTTTTATAATCTATAAAAATATGATTATTTATTTGGGGGGACCTGTTCATTTTACTAAGAACAATGGTCAATTAGATCCATTTTATTGCAAACAGCATTTTGTTCTTTAAGGCTGAGTAGTATTTCCTACTGTACTTATATCACAGTTTATAAATCCAGTTTTCAGTTACTATACTGAACTATCTAGTGGATTCAAATTCTTTAGTTGGCTAATTTCATTTATTGTGTGTAAATCCCACTTAAGAGTGGAATGGCAGGGCCATGTGGTAGATACAGTCTTGTGAGGAATTTCCATACTATCTTCCATAGTGATTGTATTAGTTACATTCCTATTAAAATTTGATTATGTTATCTATTCATACATATCCTTGTCAGAACTTATCATTTGTTCTTTCCTTTTCCATTATCTTTCTTTTTTGATGAAAAGATTTATTTATTTTTATTGCCAAGTCAGATATACAGGGATGAGGAGAGTCAGAGAGGAAGATCTTCCGTCCGATGATTCATTCCCCAAGTGACCATAATGGCCAGTGCTGTGCTGATCCGAAGCCAGGATCCAGGAACCTCCTCTAGGACTCCCACAAGGGTACAGGGTCCCAAGGCTTTGGGCCATTTTCCATTGCTTTCCCAGGCCACAAGCAGGGAGCTGGATGGGAAGTAGGGCCGTCAGGTTTAGAACTGGTGATCATATGGGATCCTAGTGCATGAAAGGTGAGGACTTCAGCCACTATGGTATCACACCAGGCCCGATGGTATCTTTCTGATGAGGCCTTTTTATTTGCATTTCCCTAAGCTAGAGATCCTCAACATTTCTTCATGTGTTTTTTAGCCATTTGAATTTTATTTGAGCAATGCCTATGCATGTCCTTTGCTCATTTCTTAACTGGATTGTGTGTTTTGCTGTAGTTGAATTCATAAACTCTTTGCAGATGCTGGATATTGAGCATTTGATAACCTCACAAATTTTTCTTTCATGTGTTGGTTGCCTCTTCACTTTGTTGATAGTCTCCTTCACAGTGCAGAAACGTCTGAGTCCTAGCAGTACCCATCAACATTGTGTGACATTGCACACTAGGAATGCACAGTGTCCTTATTCCTTCATTTGTTGATTTCTTGCGGACTCATTCTATCATCCAAATATAAATGACCAGAGCTTACCAAGCAGTGCAGCGTAAAAAATCAATGTTTGTCCACATAAAACTGACCACCCAGCATTTTTTTCACCGAGGCTTCTGGCCAATCATGTGCCTGCATAGGCATACAGGCTCATAAAGGTCTGGGCATGCAGATTTGCATATGCCCTGGGGGTTGGCTCCAACAGAAACCTGTTGCTTCAAAACCAGGTTCTACCACGTATTTGCTGGACACCTGGAACACATCATAAAGTGAGAATAAGACCAAGACTCACCTCATCACTTGAGGAGCATTAAGAGTGGTTATGGCTGACAAAGAGCCCATCAGCTGCTATTACTCCACTCAATGTAAGTGAATCCTGCTTTCCACAGTGGAATTCCTTTGAACCTGTCATTTTACCCACGCTTTACAAAATGCAAAAATGAGGGCACTTTTCACTGTAAGTCTCTTCCCTGTGAATTCACATTCTTCCCTGTGAATTCTCTTCACAAACACTATGATGAGCAAAATATACTAGAGCAAAATGTATCTGGGGGAGACAGTGGGTGGGTTCATAGTGGATAGCTCACAGAAAAATGATTTACCCTGCTCCTTTATGTAGTTCCTTGCCTTGCCTACTCCATTCAACTCTCATTTCTCTTCTCTCTGCCTGTTCTGTTGCTCTCTCTCTCTCTGCCTTGCCATGTCTGCTTTCTCAAGCTTGCTTTTTACTACCTGGTGTGTAGAAAATTCAGTTCATCCCTGAACATATTCCTTAACCCAAGGGCTCTGCAAAACTTGATCTGGCCTTTCCTGGCTCGGAGGCATGATGGCAGCCACCACTTAGCTTTCTGTGAGGGATAAGGAAATTTCCCCCCATATTTATGCATCACATGGGAAGGGAAAAGATTTTTCTTTTCATTGGTGAACGTTTATACATTCAGGTCACTACTTTGGCCTAAAAGTTTTATGTGATATTTAACTTAATGACTACAAATAGGCCCCTCAGTCACTCATTGGTTACAAATGACTTGAGTACTTACTCTAACCCGAAATCAAGCTCGGTACAACAGACAGGAGAGAAAAGCATCCCTTGTCCACATAAAATTGACACACTGATGCCGTTGAAGACCAAGGGGTCTGGCTACCCCCCACAGTTATCCTAGCAAGAGGTCACATACATTTTTCTCACTGGTAATTGGTACTCTTTGTTTCTCAAGTGGCTAGAGTTATGTCTAGGCTTTCAAATGTCTGGTCCAGGAAATTTCTGTCCCAGGACACAAAGGAAACTGGATTTAGAGCCTGATCTCTTTTTTGCACAGTTGCCCCAGGCTTTGTTGTTGTGGTTGCTCTGCACTCAGGATACAGGACATGGCCTAGGGCCCTAAATAGGTAATGGTATCATAAATTGTTCCCATGTCAGTAGAGGCCCTGTATGGGAGAGGAAAGAGCCTAGGCTTTACCGTCAGTAAGGAGTGGGTTTCAATTCAGAATTCTCTACCTTTTGATAAACCACAGTCTGCAATCCCTGTTTCCCTCCCCCTGTGTTCAAAGGATAATGATTTCCTTACAGCTGGATGGTCTTGGGACTCAAAGTCATGCAGCTGTTTCTCAGGTCTGGTTTGTGTTCCCAGGGACATCACTCGTGGGTTTGTGAATTTGAATTCAACCATCCCAGCCTGGGAGAAGCAAATCACAACACTGAATGCAAGTGTTGCAATCCCTACTCCAGCACGTGACAAGACTCGTCTGATTCTGGAATTGTTGATCTTTGTCCTGGCACTGGTTGGACTGGCAGGAAATTCAACAGTGCTTTGGATCCTGGGTTGCCGCATGCGCAGAAACGTCTTCTCAGTGTACATCCTCAACCTGGCCTGTGCCGACTTCCTCTTCCTCTGCTGTCAAGTGTTTTGGTCCTCACACTTTGTGATTAAATTTTTCCATCCTTTTTCCATCCCTTCACAATTAAACCACTTCTTACTCGCTATGACATTCTTTCCCTACGTCGTAGACTTGAGCATTCTCAGTGTCATTAGCACAGAACGCTGCCTGTCTGTCCTGTGGCCCATCTGGTACCGCTGCTACCGTCCGAGACGCCTGTCTGATGTTGTCTGCATCCTGATCTGGGTTCTGTCCCTTCTGCTGAGCATCCTGGAAAAAAATGACTGCCGTGTCCTGTTTACATGTGGAGACAGTAAATAGTGTCAGCTACTTGACTTCTTCATTGCAACATGGCTTATATTTTTGTTTTTGATTCTCTCTGGGACCAGCTTGGCCCTGCTGCTCAGGATCCTGTGTAGCTCACGGCGGATGCCGATGACCCGGCTGTATGTGACCCTCCTGCTCACAGTGCTGGTCTTCCTCCTTTGCGGCCTGCCTTATGGCATCATTTGGTTCATCTTAATTTGTATTAAGAATTTTCCACTTTATTCCTCAGATTATCTTCACCTCATTACAGTTGTCTTGTCCTGTGTTAACAGCTGCGCCAACCCCATCATTTACTTCTTCGTGGGCTCCTTTAGGCAGTGGAGGCAGGGACATACCCTCAAGCAGGTTCTTCAGCAGGCTCTGCAGGACACTCCTGAGGTGAGTGACAGTGGAGGCAGCCTGCCTCAGGGAACTCTGGAGATGTTGGGGAGCAGCCAGGTATAGAAGAAGACCCCTCAGCATTCATGCAAAAGTGACTTTCAAAACCAGTTGTGCCACTGTCACAGAAAATCTTTTGTCATTGTCAGATCCAATCTTCAGATTGTTGAGCTAATAATCCTCTTCGTGAACATCAAGTGAAAAGGCACCTCTTGACCAGTTACAGGTGTATTGTTTCTTTGGCCTCCAATGGGCTTCACTCATTCCAATAGGAACTGTGTGAATTCAGAATCCAGGGATTTCCTAACTCTTTGAAATCTTCACTTTCAGCAGAAGGCTCAAAGCAGTGCAGCAAAGATCGGAATTGCTTGGGCCACCTGTACCTGAACCTGATGGGAACAAAATAATTTCTTACAAGTGTCTATTTTCTTTCACCTTTAAATTCTGTCTCAATATAATTAAGATTATTCAATTTTGACATATAAACAGTCTTCTATCATTTTCACAGGCTCTTGGAATATTCCACTAGCAGAGTTAATGAATGACTTAATGGATGAATGTAATATCGATTTTATGTAAAGCTAGTTAGAAATCCGCATTTGCCAAATTTGAGTTGCCGTTTTTAAATCTATTGATTTTTCAATTTTTGGTCTTTTGTGACGCTGTTTTATAATTAAATAAATAAGCACCATGAATAGATGTTTTTTTTTTTTCCTGTGGTTTCTTTCCACTTGCCTTCCACCTGAATCCTCACAGCAGATTTCCAAGTTAGATTTAGCTGCTCCATGTTCCTTAAGACAAAATCCTTCCAATTTAATTCATATTACAAAGATCTGATAGATTTCATTATGTTCACTTAATAACACATGTATAATTGAGGAGTACTTGGTGCATATAGTTTATAAACCCTATCTATACTCTTGATTATTATGTAAAATAACTTTATATATACAATATTTGAAATTTTCCCCTTTAATGAAAGAAAAAAACACATTAATTTTCAATTCTGCATCATTTAATTGTTTTCCTTGCCTTTAATTGAGACTTAATTAAGACAGGGTTGTAAACAATGATCCTAAGTGTATAGTTGCTGAATTGTGGCAAAGGAATATATTGATATGACTCAATACTCAATCACATTACAAACATTTTCATGTTACTGGCAGTTTCAAGTGCTTCCCCCATATTTTGTTCTTAGGAATAATTTTTGTGACTATTGCTATCAGTAAGACTACTTTAGTTTGCTTTTGACATCACATACTTAAAGCAATGTGTGCCTTTTTCATCTCTACCTTATTTAATTCACCATCATATATTTGGAATTTTTTCACTTCTTTTCATTACATATTTCAACATTTATATAGTTGAGTACAATTTAATTATGTACAACTGCCATGCTTTATCCATTTTCACTGTGATGAATATGTATTTCCTTTAATTTTTGCATGTAATAAATAAAAACACTGTGAACATTATTTTGGAAGATTTATTACAGACATCTGTTTTTATTCTCTTGTGTGAAAGTCTAAAATAAAATTACTGATTCTTGGCAAGTTGTGTATTTGTAATAAGTTGCTCAAGTATTTTCAAAATCATTGTGATTATCCATATTTCTCCTTGCAAAATCAAAATTATGTATTGATTTTATTTTTAATTTTTTCTTCTTTTTGTTATTATCATTTTCTGATACAGTTCCATGGGCTCTGGGATTTCCCTTAACCCCTCCCCAATTTTGTCCCCTATCACTGAGTTCCCCTTTATCATTACTATAACATAGTTCCTCATACATAGCCATATACCCATTATTGTAGTATGGACAATGGCAGAGAGTCCAGAATCCTATTGTCATGATACAGTAAACAGTTTCATTTGGAGTCCATCTTTGTCTGGAAGTAGAGATGCAGATTGTGCTATATCCTCATATCTGAATATGACAGTCTCCATTACACAGTTACCATACATCCCCTTAATTGAAAAGCCACAATACAAAATCAACAACAGAAAGAAAAATAGAAATTTACAATGTCATGAGGTTAAATAACATGCTATTAGATATGATAGTCTCCATACACACTTACTATACTTCCCCTTAAATGAAAAGCCACAGACAAAATCAACAACAGGAAGAAAAAAAAATTAACAGGCAACAAATAGATGGGTTTTTTTAAAATCCAGTCTACCAATCTATGACATTTGATAGATGATTTTAAGCCACTTACATTCAAAGTTAATATAAATAGGTGGTAATTTGGTCCTGTCATTTTAGCAATGGGTTGTTCATTGGTTTAGTCTTCCATTGTTATTTTACTGGGATGTTCTTCACATTTGTCTTTTGTTTTGGTGAGTTCTATTCCTTTTCTCTGTCAAGAGAACATCTTTAAGTATCATTTGTAGGGCAGGTTGGAAGAGGCATATTCTTTTAACTTTTCTTTACTGTGGAAGATTTTTATTTCATTTTCAAAGACAAAAAAAAGTTTTGCTAGATACGCTATCCTGGGCCAACAATTATTTGCATTTAGAATCTAGAATATGTTGCTCCATTCTCTTCTGGCCTGTAGAGTTTCCTGGGAGAAGTCATCCGTGAGTTTAATTAGTATCCCTTTATGTCAGTTGATTTTTTTAGGTGCACATTTAAGGATCTTTTTCTTATGTTCAATGGAAGAGAGCTTGATTATCATGTGTCATGGTGAAGATCGCTTTTGGTCAAGCCTGTTGGGAGTTCTGTGCCCCTCCTGGATGTTGTTAACCAATTCTTTCTGTATATTAGGAAAATTTTCCCTTATTACTTTATTATTACATTTTTAAACCCAACCTCTTTTTCTACACCTTCTGGGACTCTCATAAGTCATATTAGGCCTTTTAATAGTGTCTTTCAATTCTTGAATACTTTTTTTTTTGGCCTGATCCAGCTCTGCTTCCAGCTTTTTGTTTGTTTCTCACTGGTGACAGGAAATACCTTCTAATTTTGAGATGTTTTCTTCTGTCTGTTTCATTCTGTTTTAGAGACTCTCCACTGTACTTTTAATTTGCTCCATTGTATTCTTCATTTCTGATATATCAGCTTTCATTTGATTGATTTCCAGTGTGACATATTCCTTGAATTCCTGGAATGCCTGCTTTATGTCATGCTTCTCATTGTTGATAAGAAGCCTTATAACAAGTGTTTTGAATTTACAAGATGTCTTCCTCGTGAACTCTTAGGTTGGCAAAGGGTTTTGCACCTTCTCAGGGGAATCCTCAGCAATATTCACTGTGTCTCTGTCTCTTCTTTTGTTCGTGGTCATTGTACTTCTGGTTATCAGATTCTTCTCCTTGGGACAGATTTCTAAGCTGTCACACAAGGCCCTACAATTCAATTTTGCATATTGCAGTTGCTACACGGCTCTTTCTTTGTAGTCACTTGTGCCACTTCCTCCAGCAATTCCAGGTCTAGGTTCCTATGTTAGATTTACACCATGGTCTCCGTAGCCCAAGCTCCTGGTTCACCACACTCCACCTCCTGTGATACTGTGCTGAGGCTGCACCATTGTCTGTAAAACCTTTCCCCCACTTCCAGTTGAGTAGGACCCAGGATTAAGGAGATACCAGGTAAAGGAGATACCAGGAAAGCTGTTGGTGGCGCTGTTCTTGCTGGAACCTGTTGGCCGTTAGGTCTAAGTGACGCATGGACCTGTTTTGACCCATACGATGCCACAGTCGATATTATTTCCCTGCAGGACCAGTGCAATCCACTGAGCTCAATGAGTTATTGCCAAGCTCAGTGCATGCGAGGTTCACTGTTGTACCTGTAGTCTTAAATTCTTTGCCACACTGTAAGAAATGGCACCTGATGTGCCACTGCTAGAGTTCTTGATCTGCTGTCGTTAGCTCTGAGGGCTACCCAGACGTTTCTTGGGTGGAACCAGGACACTATGCTGTTGCAGTTCACGGAGTCAGAAACAAATTCACTCCCCACTCCATGCATGCACAGCTGGCCCATAGCCCCTGCCTCCTTAAAGAAAATGATGCCCCATATGGCTCTAAGTGGCAGGCAGACTGAGCAGTGAAATCTAGCACTGCCTGTGTGGGACCTGCCACTCTGTCTCTGCTCCTGGTCAAATCAAACGAACCAGAAGAATGAGCTGTTCTTTGGGTTCATCTCTGGAGCTCCCGGTAAATGTCTTTTCCCACCTTGTTGCTGGTGTAGTTTTGAGTGCCAATGGAGTTCAGATCACTCTTTGCTCAATGCTGCTGGGGTATCAGTCACTGCAACACTACACTATTGTTTTCACTGCTTTCCTTTCTCAGTCTCTGGGTACCATTCTGTTGTTCTGTCTTCTACTATTTCCTGTTATGTGCCTTCTCTGCTTCACACTGGCTAATATTTCTCTGTCTGTTTAAATGTGTCGTTACCCTATTTTGCCATCTTGATTCTCTCTGTAGTTATTCATATTCTCACTAGCAATGTACAAGATTTCCAGCTACTATGAATGTTCCTAACAAAGGTGGTATTGTTGTCTTTTCTGTTTTAGCCATACCTATCAGTTTGAAATATTTTGCCATTATATTTAAGTTCTCATGTTACTTCGACAATAAGTTGTACATTTTTGGTGATGTTAGCTACTCAAGTTTTAAGTGGGTTCCTGATGTTTTATTATCACATTTTTCATTTTTACTGTGTGTGGGTTTTATAAATCATGAAGTCCTCAGTTGTGTTACCATAAATATTTACTAGGTTGATTATTTGACTTGTAATTTTTAACAAACCATTTTAGAGTGCTTTTACATTTATAGGAAAGGAGCACAATTAGGAGTTCCAATATACCTCTACTCTCCTTATCCACCTCCGTAAAGAGTTTCTTCTATTGTTTTTGCATCACTGTGATACATTTATTAAAAGCAACATATCATCATCACAAACTAAGTGGCATAGTTGACATTGTGGTTCACTCTTGTAATGAACAATTCAATGGGTTTGACAAATGCAGAGTGATGAGCATCCACCATCAAAGCACCACACAGGGTACTTTCCATGACCTAAACATTTCTTGGACTCCACCTATTTTACCCTTTCTCCAAATGACAGA